CACTGACTTTCTTTGTGTTTCCAGAGTCCAGAGAGCTTGCTCTTGCCAGAGGGCTTTTGCATTAGCTGTTCCCTTGCTTGGAATGCTCTTAGCAAGATTCTTTGCATGGCTGACTCTGCCATTTAGGTCGCCACATAAATGTCACTTCCTCCAAGAGACAGCTCTTGACAACTCAACATAGGTTTCTTCCCAAGTCACTTCTGGTCCATGCATCATTGAATGATTGATCATACCACTTCACATCTGTCTTTGTGTCCATTATTTTTTTGTTTTTAAGATTTATTTTAAAAATTATTTATTTATTTTACGTATATGAGTGTATTGCCTGCATATATGTAAGTGTACCCATGTCGTGCAATGCCGTGGTCAGAAGAGGCATCAGATCCCCTGGAACTGGAGTTAGGGACAGTTGTTAGCTGCCATGTGGGTGCTAGAAACTGAACACATGTCCTCTGCAAGAGCAACCAGTGCTCTTAACCACTGAGCTACCTCTCCAGCTGAAGATTTAATTAATTAATTAATTTTTTTAGGTCTTTTTGAGACAGGGTCTCCCTGTAGGCCCAGCTGTCCTGGAACTCACTATGTAGACCAGGCTGGACTCGAACTCACAAGATCCACCTGCTTCTGCCTCCCAAGTGCTGGGATTAAAGGTGTGTGCCACCACGCCCGGCTCCAAGATTTATTTTTAATTATGGGGGGGAGGTATGTGCATGTAAATTCAGGTGCCCTCTGTGTGAGCTGTCCAATGTGGATCCTGGGAACTGAACTCTGGGGTCCTCTGCAAGAACAGTATACACACTTAACCACTGAGCCACCTCTCCAGCTCCTATTGTTGGTTTTTGATCCCTCTTGGGATTATAGGAATGAGTGATTTGGGATTATAGGAATGAGTTTTGGGATTATAGGAATGAGTGACTATGCCAGGTTCTCATTTGCTTGCAGAAAATAAACTCCCTGACAAAAGGGACCCTATCTGTTGAGTTCCATGACTATATCCTTAGCACCTATTAATAGAACAATGTTTAGCACACAGCAGACACACACAATTTTTTGAATGCATGAGTAATTGGTAGGGGCCTAAGTGGATAGGGAAAAGATAAAGGATGTTTACATTTATTTGAAGCTGAAAAGCAATCATTCTGTTTCCATGGGTATTGGTTGTGGGACTGGTGTTGGCCAAGACTTATTCCAACTATGGGCCCTAATGGAAACACCGAGTCGAGTGGTCAGAGTTTAGAAATGGTGACATGGACAGGGCATGACTGTTGGGTTGAATGAATGTGGATGATTTTTACTTCTTTCCCTTCCTCCTCCTCCTGTGGTGCTGGGCTGGACCCCAGGGCCTAATGCACCTTAGGTGGTGCTCTACCACTGAGCCCCACCCTCCACACCTATCTTTCATACTTTCAGAAAATAAAATATGTAGAAACCTTATCTTCAAGCCAGAAATGTTAAGGAATGGTTACTTGCATTGCCAGAACTTAGCTCTTACCTGAACACCCCAGGGAAAGTGCAGAGGATTAAGCCTATCTGTGTCACACTACAGGCTGTTTTCAATACTGCGTACTTATAGACCGTTGTCCAGATACACTTACAGCTGTGTGCAACTTACATTTACATATAATATACTCTCCAAGTAGAAGTTTCCTCTTCTGGAAGGTGAAAGACAGAGAGGTTGAGAATAGCTCCATCTTGTGATGGGTCTGTTTTATAAAAACCAAAAAGGCCACTGCATCTGAGTTGGAGTATTCTATGTGGTTTGCTCTGACTACCTCTTTTCTTCCTTCTGTTTGTCAGGGTTAAAACTTTCCAATTAATTTCTGACTTTCTGTTTATTCTCACCCTGGGATAATGAATTCTTTTCAAATAGTTCAGTTACTGAAGTGGTTGTCAAATAAGGTTCAGTGGGGCTGTGTTCCACAAACTGGATCAAATGCGCTCCAGTTCAGAGAAAAAAATTAATGCAATGGTCTTCATTTTTTTTTCACATTATTTTCTAACAGTTGTGGTGCCTGTTGTACTAGATTCTATTAGAGCTGCGGTAGCAGATAATATTTCGGCATATCAATATTATGCCATATTCTGCTAGGGGTGCTAGTTTCTTGAAGGGCTTAAGGTAAGTCTGGAACCATTTTTAGAGGCTCTATGTTCCCTACCCAGCTATTCTCCTGCAAACCCTTGTAAACAGGTTTGCAGGAGTAGTTCAGAGACAGATAATTTGACTGAAACATGTCTGGAGCAGGCATTCTTCTGTCATGGAAGGGGCTGGCAGAAGGCCCAGACTCTAACTTGCTGGTCTGAGGATTCCTTGGTCTTTTGCTGTTGGTTAAGGGCAGCTATTCTCACACCATTCTAGTCATGGAGACTAGAGGTCATGGGCCTCTTGCACTATAGCTTAATGTATTCCCCAATGCCAAATGGGGCCAAAGCCTACCCACCCTTCTGAGAAAACCTCAAGAAAGGGCTGGCATAATTCATGCCAATGGTATATACAGGCATAATCGTAGTGGGGGAGAATGAAAAACACCAATGAGGGCCAGGAAGATGGCTCAGCAGATGAAGACACTTGGCAGCATGCTTGATGACCTGAGTTCAATTCCCGGGACCCACATGGTGGAAGGAGAGAGCCGACTCCTAAAAGTTGTCCTCTGACCCTACCCCTCCCATACACATATACAAATAAATAAAAATACAAAAATCAACATCTATTAAAAACAATAATGAACTGGAGCCAGTAACTATGAGTTCTGGCTCTCCTTCCACCAACAACCAGTTGTGTGGCCGGGTAAGCAACTTTATAACCACTGTGTGATACGGGTTTTATCTAATCAGTACTGGACAGTGGTTACAAACAGACACTGAAGGCAGAATGCAGGAGGTTGTAATCAGAGTCCATCACTCACTTACTCACTTTGGAGAAATTATAGAATTTTCTCTTCTGTGTTTGTCCCGTCTCCAATGTGTTACGAGGCCAAAATAAGTTATTTTATGTCAAGGGCTGAGAAGAATGCTCAGTACACAGTAAACATCATATATGTTTGCTATTAGAATTACCAAAAGGGTATCAAATGGGTTAATCTTTAAGACACCTTCCTACTCAAATACTTACAATTTTCAATTCAGTCAGTGAGCATTTCCCACGTCGTACCTAACCCTAGCTCGAGCAGAACTAGGAGCAGAATCATTTGACGTTCCCAGTATTGTACAGCTCTACAAATGGGGTTGGCCCTGCCCTTCAGGAACTGAAAACGGAACTCAGGAGGACCATGTTAATACCGGCAGCTCACTAGAGTAGAGATATCAGTGAGACTTCAAGAGCCCAGAGAACTCCAGCACGCTGTTCACTTTCCTGATTGGTGTCTGCCTTTTTTTTTCACTCAAAAATAAAACGAAAGACAGTCTTGCATTCCAAATAAAAGTTTCTTTTTATAAACACACAATTTTTCTCTCTTCTAAATTTTTTATCCCATTTTAACTAATTAAAGTGTGTGTGCACGTGAGTATGTGCATGTGTGCCACGGCGCACTGTGTTGAGGGTCAGTGGGCAACCTGTGGGAGATGGTTTTCTCTCCACCATGTGGGTCCTAGGAATTGAACTCAGGTCATCAGGCTTGGTAGCAAACACCTTTAGTCTTTACCCATGAAGCCATCTCAGAAGCTTCTTCTGTGAGATTTTGAGACAGGGTTTCAATATATAGGCCTGGCCAGTCTGGAACTCATTGTGTAGATCAGGCTGATTTTGAACTTGTGTTCCTCCTGCCTTTGCCTCTAGAAAACTGGGATTACAGGTGTGTACCACTGCACCAGACAGACCACCTTTCCTTATCTCAATTATCTTTTTCTTTTTAAAATATTTTATTTTTAATTTTTTAAATTTATTATTTTTTTATTTTTATACTTACAGGTATGTAAGTGCACCCATGTCATGGATTCCCCTGGAACTGGAGTTAAGGACGGTTCGTAGCCACCATGTGGGTGCTGGGAATCGAACCCGTGTCCTCTACAAGAGCAGTCAGTGCTCTTAACTGCTGAGCCATCTCTCCAGCCCCTCAATTAGCTTTTTCATCTCTCCCCATATGATCCAAACAACCACATTATTCTAAGAGGTAACTGGTGGATTTTTCCTGCTTCAAATGGAAAGAAAATTTTTGTGGTAGTGGAACACTGGCTACTTGGAGAAGTCAGGCAGACATCACCCCAAATCACAGTCCAGGCCCGACCCACTGGGAACCATATGTGGCTCCAACAATTATTTTATATTTATGCATGCATCTGTGTGTCTGTGTTTGTATGTGCACATGAGTGTGGGTGCTGCAGAGGCCAGAAGGGGGCATCGGATTCCTTGGAGCTGGATTTAGTTTGCTGAGAACCTAACTCTGGTCCTCTGCAAACCCAAGAGGCTGTCAACTGCTGTCCAGCGCTCCGGCCCCTCACTTTCACATCGTTTCCCATTTTCAAACCTTACAGCCAGCACTTTGCTGTCTGAGCCTTAGAATCCTGTGAGAAGAGGAGGCCGGATTATCCCCATTTTAGGCTGGTTAGGGCAGGCACCTCTCCTCCTTGCCTTAAGTGCATCCTGGGCTTAGGAATCACAGATGTGATCTGGAGTGGACAAGAGTTGGGTCTTGAAGGACAAGAAGGTAGGGATGGTTGGCAGGAGACTTAGGGCTACAGGTCTGGCTAGAGGATTGGGGAGGGGGCCTCAAAGGGACGCTTAAGTCAGACTCACCTACATCCTGGACACGAGCCCTTCTCTTCTTTTTGGTTCCACCACATCATACACCTCAAAGGGTTAAAAGTAGCTTTCACATGATTTCCCGATCTCCCAGGTAACTTGGGCAGCTGCTTCAGGAGGGAAATAAACGTCCCGAAACAATTTTTTCAGTTCATGAACCTGGCAATACACCCCAGCCCCCCACAGCAAAGAAGCACACCCCTTTGGGTAAAAGGTGCCGGGGGGAGGGACTCTGAAAGTTGGCAGGTGATGGGGAGGCGGGTAGGGCTGCCCCAGAGAGCGTGGGGCCAGAGGGCGGCACCGAGAATGCCCCTTCCCTCCCCGGCTCCGGCTCTCAGCGCAGCAGGTTTCCGTCGGGGGCGGGAGCCCCAAAGGGCTGGGGTCAGTGGAAAGAAGCGGGGTGCGGGCGAGCGGGTGCCAGGTGCACACACCTGGCGCCTCGTGGAATGAAATCTTAATTAATTATTAAGCTGGGCTCC